ATAGAAAAGGGTGTTTCCATTTAAAAGCGTCGAATTTGACCCACACTGTACATAGGACATTTTCTACGCATTTTTCTACATACACGTAGAAAATTATTTTTCTACCCAAACCTGTTACCCAACCCTGGTTTATATATTTATAATTAATTTGTTTTTGTTTTTTTTGTTTTCTAAAAATATTTTGATCAAAGGAAATATGTAAAAATGGGCAACAATGTGTCGGTCAGAATAATCACGGAACTAAAATTTTATTTGGTATTATCTATATAAATATGATTTATCTTTCAGATTTTTTTTCTAAATATTCTTTTTAATCTATTGTGTTTAGATCCGGTCATACCGATGTATTACTACATAGAAAAAGAGAATATTGACTTAAAATCCCCTCCAAAAACGATGGTTGTAGATCATGGTCTGTTCCTGTGGAATCAGGCTATGTTCATTTTAGCCAATTACTTACAGCAGGACTACTTCACATAAACGAATTGGACCCCTATCAGAAGGTATTTGCCTTCATATAATAGGCCTAGAAAGGGTGGGAGGTATTCTGCTTTTCAGGTGTGTATAATATTAGTGTGTGTATAACTTCAATTTTCTATTTTTTTATTCGTAAAAATTCTTCAAAAAGTTTTAAGAAATAAAAATATGGGTAACGTTTTCAATTAATATATTGTGTTAACTATGTTTTTTTAAGTTCCCTGCATAGCATACTTACCCTCAATAATTTATTTGCAGTATGGACAAACTATGGAGGGTAGAGGTAAGGAGAAACATCCCTTACGGGGCTTTGTTTGAAAAAGTGGTCACGAAAAAAGGGAAAATATGGGTTTATTAAATGACCACTGTAGCGCTTGGGATCCTTGACAGTTCTGTTTGACGATTTATTTGACACATTTGAATTTGATTTGAAACTTTGTGAATTTGTCAGTCTTATTTATTGTCTTATTTGTCAGTCAGTTTTATTAACTACCAACATTTATTGACAACGTAAGCAAATAAATTATTGAGTCTACCCTACATAATTTTTTTATATGTTTTGAATAAAATTAGGACGGCACTGCTGAATCGGAGTATAAGTCGGCCATTTCAGGACCCCGTCGCGTTCGATCTAAGATTTTTGATATGCTCTTTCCTTATTATTTTATTCAAAAGAGAAATCTCATATTATCTATCCCTCTTTAATTATTTCCTGTTCTAAAAAATTTTGGCGCTGCTTTCAAATGTAGAACTGTTGCTACAGCAGCGCCATCTTAATTGTTCCCTCTTTGGTGACTACTTTTTCAATATACTCAGATAATTCTCCTTACTCCTAACCTCCGTAGGACAAACTAAAGGAAACAAAACATATAACAAATCTTTGGATAAAGTTATTTGTAATTTTATATTTGTTTAAAAAATTATTGATGCTTAATGTTGCAAAAAAAAACTTTCTAATGGGTCGATATCAGTCCATTGTTCTGCTTGGGTATATGTAAGCAAGTGCCAAATCAGCGTCTACTTATCATATGTTTTTTTCACATATACGCGAAGAGAGTATTTCTGTTAATATAAAGACAATATCTTAAAAATGTGTTTATTTTTTTGTGTTTGATGCCCTCTAACGGACGAACAAAGCAGTTTTGTTTACCGGGTGCGTCTCAAAAGTGGCTCATCCCTATAATTTTTATTTTTCAAATAAAATAACGAGATTTGGTATATTAGTATATGACATAAATTAGATTGACTTCGACGTTGTTTTTTGGTCAATTCCTGTTTCACCGGAAATGACTACAACTTTTTGATTTTTAAATGGCAACCTCGGTATTTTTCTAGTTTATGCAATAGAAAATGTCACTCTGAATAGAATGACATATCACATGTCAACTTTTGACATTTTCGCTTTAAAAAATCATATTTTAAATTTCAGTCTAGAGGCTGTGTTTAAAAGCACTAATTTTTAATCAAGGCGCCTTTGGAAAATATATTTGATCGTCTAGTGTTTTTCGTGTCTTGTCCTGGCCGGTTAAAATATGCCCAAATCGTATTTTTAATCATATCTCAATTTTTTTTCAAATGGAACGAGGCTGGCTCATTAGCATATTTGGAAAAAGCAGTTTTTAGGAATAATTTGGTACCACACAGTTGGTATTCCGAGTCAAATTGTCGTTATGATCCGCATGTTACAATTTCAAATAAACCATATGAGAAAATGTCAAAAGTTGACATATGATATGTCATTCAACTCAGAATATCATTTTCTATCGAATTAAATAAAAAAATACCGAGGGTGCTACTTAAAAATCAAAAGTTGTTGTCATTTCCGGTGAAACAAGAAGTGACCAGACAAATGAATACGTCAATCAATTCCAATTTATGTCATATACTAACACACCAAATCTCATTTTTTTTCACCTGAAAAATTAAAAGTTATAGGGGTGAGCCACTTATAAGACGCACCCGGTATAACTAAATTGGGTCTAATGAACATACATATATTTGTTCCAAAAACGTAGTAATTCAGTGTCCACGGAATATAGGGACACCTGGTATCCCTTTGTTAATTTATATGTTATAAATGTGAATAATTATGTAAAACGTGTAATAATATAATAATAATTTTATTTTTTGCTTTCTTTGGCAGGCAAAACCGTCCATAGTAAGTAATTTTATGATTCTTTTCATTATTTATTAATACCTTGATACTCTAATTTAGAAAATCTGTAATAAAACCTTGTCCATTAAGTATATATGTTAGATAGGCGTATGTTTATAATTTGTGCATGGCTTGTAGCTGCTTACATGTTTCTTTAGTAACAATAATGAATTATATATAAAAAAATAATAATCTGAAACAGAGTCAAGTTGACTTACTTTTTTCTGGTAGTATATTATGTATCCTGGTTTTATCTATCTTCCGATGATGTTTTGGTGTATTTTACGGTGTATTTCTGTAATTTTTTTTGTTGAAGAAACAAGATTAAGAAAACACATGAAAAGTATAATTAACGAATTATATTTTTTTTCTAATATTTATTGAAGTTATGAAACTACATATTTTTGTTTATTTTAAGTTTTTTTATTTTTTCGTTTTTAGTAATAGTTGCAATAGGTTCGGTGGAGGTTATGGTAGGTTTAATTTATTGAGATTTTGAAACTTATATGAATTCATAATAATATTAATAATTATCTAATAATATACTAATAATAAGAATTTTCAATAATGTGAATGATAAATAAATAATTGTGCTTAACAATTTAAAGTTTATTTTAGAATTTTTAATAGATCTTAGATATAGTAAATTTTTCAAAAATATTTCTCTTCCGATTACAATCTGGCAACAATGCTGTCTACAATCAACGCACGTGCTCGATGACATGCAACGGTTTTTATTTTGTACGACGTATATGTCATATATATTTGATATCAATTGAACTTTTAGTTACGTAATCGTGGGCGCGATTTTTAAATTCATTGTTGCCAACCATGGGCATATTCGGCGCCGGGCCGACTAACTGGAATTTAAATATCCCGCTGGAGATTCAGGTGGTAGCCCTGCTGTAAAAAATGTCAAGTTGCCACATTTATTTTTGATTATTTCCTTAAAATTGTCATTCGTTTTGACACTTTAGTTTTGTATTGCGAGTTTTTGGTTTAAATGAATTGTATTGTGATACTTTAAGCTTAAACATTTTTACTAGCAGACAATGCAGTCGAACGTTGTTCCTCTTGGAACCTCTTTTAGTACGAAGTGTACAAGATAGGTTAATAGCCGTTGCAGAAAACTCATTGCAGCCTTATTAAAATATTTTGAACGGGAAAGCTGTAGTAATGGCCCTTTATGTCTTTTAAGTGCTGTTAAGGAAGTGAGTTCTGTTGATGTAAATAATAACTGTTTATTTCAGGGTCGGGTAGGTAGAAATTTTTACATTTTCTACCATATTTTCTACACGTAGAATATTAATTTCCTCACCAACTAATTGTCTACATTTTCTACATGTCCATATGTAGAAAATCAGTTATGTACACATATTGAAAGCCATTTTTGACTGTTATATTTGTTTTTAATACCTACTTTAACACAGTGAATAGCACAAAAAATAGATTAATAACAATTAAACTAATTGTTATTTATTATTTAACAAATGGATAATGTCATAAAACCTTAACAATGAATTTTTATATTATTTGAAATAGAGATGGTCTCCATCCAATAGTGACTTGTTATGATTCATTGTAGAGATTATAGTACTTAACAAAAACTATTTCTCAAAAGTAAAACTCAAACAGAACAAAAAAATCTTTGATGTTCTTTGATAAAATTGAAAAAAAGAACAGCCAAAACTTGTACTATAAAATCAGACTGTTCTCTACGGTATTGAAATTAAATAGAATAAAATAATCTAATAAATTAAATTAATTGTTATTTATTATTTAACAATTAGATAATGTCATAAAACCTTAACAATGAATTTTTATATTATTTGAAATAGAGATGGTCTCCATCCAATAATGACTTGTTATGATTCATTGTAGAGATTATAGTACTTAACAAAAACTATTTCTCAAAAGTAAAACTCAAACAGAACAAAAAAATCTTTGATGTTCTTTGATAAAATTCAAAAAAGAACAGCCAAAACTTGTACTATAAAATCAGACTTTTCTCTATGGTATTGAAATTAAATAGAATAAAATAATCTAATAGTCTTCAGAACGATTACTGTCTCTTATCTTCAGTAGTTAGTACCGTCACAGAAGAGACAGTTTTAACACTTATAGAATTTAAAGAAGACACCCAGGAGGAAACTTGTAAAGGGAAAACAACTTTAAATATACAAAATGGATTTTGAACATGTACATAGGACATTTTCTACGCATTTTTCTACATACACGTAGAAAATTATTTTTCTACCCAAACCTGTTACCCAACCCTGGTTTATATATTTATAATTAATTTGTTTTTGTTTTTTTTTTGTTTTCTAAAATATTTTGATCAAAAGGAAATATGTAAAAATGGGCAACAATGTGTCGGTCAGAATAATCACGGAACTAAAATTTTATTTGGTATTATCTATATAAATATGATTTATCTTTCAGATTTTTTCTAAATATTCTTTTTAATCTATTGTGTTTAGATCCGGTCATACCGATGTATTACTACATAGAAAAAGAGAATATTGACTTAAAATCCCCTCCAAAAACGATGGTTGTAGATCATGGTCTGTTCCTGTGGAATCAGGCTATGTTCATTTTAGCCCAATTACTTACAGCAGGACTACTTCACATAAACGAATTGGACCCTATCAGAAGGTATTTGCCTTCATATAATAGGCCTAGAAAGGGTGGGAGGTATTCTGCTTTTCAGGTGTGTATAATATTAGTGTGTGTATAACTTCAATTTTCTATTTTTTTATTCGTAAAATTCTTCAAAAAGTTTTAATAAAAATATGGGTAACGTTTTCAATTAATATATTGTGTTAACTATGTTTTTTTTAAGTTCCTGCATAGCATACTTACCCTCAATAATTTATTTGCAGTATGGACAAACTATGGAGGGTAGAGGTAAGGAGAAACATCCCTTACGGGGCTTTGTTTGAAAAAGTGGTCACGAAAAAGGGGAAAATATGGGTTTATTAAATGACCACTGTAGCGCTTGGGATCCTTGACAGTTCTGTTTGACGATTTATTTGACACATTTGAATTTGATTTGAAACTTTGTGAATTTGTCAGTCTTATTTATTGTCTTATTTGTCAGTCAGTTTTATTAACTACCAACATTTATTGACAACGTAAGCAACAAATTATTGAGTCTACCCTACATAATTTTTTTATATGTTTTGAATAAAATTAGGACGGCACTGCTGAATCGGAGTATAAGTCGGCCATTTCAGGACCCCGTCGCGTTCGATCTAAGATTTTTGATATGCTCCTTCCTTATTATTTTTATTCAAAGAGAAATCTCATATTTATCTATCCCTCTTTAATTATTTCCTGTTCTAAAAAATTTTGGCGCTGCTTTCAAATGTAGAACTGTTGCTACAGCAGCGCCATCTTAATTGTTCCCTCTTTGGTGACTACTTTTCAATATACTCAGATAATTCTCCTTACCTCTAACCTCCGTAGGACAAACTAAAGGAAACAAAAACATATAACAAATCTTTGACAGTTATTTGTAATTTTATATTTGTTTAAAAAAATTATTGATGCTTAATGTTGCAAAAAAAAACTTTCTAATGGGTCGATATCAGTCCATTGTTCTGCTTGGGTATATGTAAGCAAGTGCCAAATCAGCGTCTACTTATCATATGTTTTTCACATATACGCGAAGAGAGTATTTCTGTTAATATAAAGACAATATCTTAAAAAATGTGTTTATTTTTTGTGTTTGATGCCCTCTAACGGACGAACAAAGCAGTTTTGTTTACCGGGTGCGTCTCAAAAGTGGCTCATCCCTATAATTTTTTTATTTTTTCAAATAAAATAACGAGATTTGGTATATTAGTATATGACATAAATTAGGATTGACTGACGTTGTTTTTGGTCAATTCCTGTTTCACCGGAAATGACTACAACTTTTGATTTTTAAATGGCAACCTCGGTATTTTTCTAGTTTATGCAATAGAAAATGTCACTCTGAATAGAATGACATATCACATGTCAACTTTTGACATTTTCGCTTTAAAAAAAATCATATTTTAAATTTCAGTCTAGAGGCTGTGTTAAAAGCACTAATTTTTAATCAAGGAGCCTTGGAAAAATATATTTGATCGTCTAGTGTTTTTCGTGTCTTGTCCTGGCCGGTTAAAATATGCCCAAATCGTATTTTTAATCATATCTCAATTTTTTTCAAATGGAACGAGGCTGGCTCATTAGCATATTTGGAAAAAGCAGTTTTTTAGGAATAATTTGGTACCACACAGTTGGTATTCCGAGTCAAATTGTCGTTATGATCCGCATGTTACAATTTCAAATAAACCATATGAGAAAATGTCAAAAGTTGACATATGATATGTCATTCAACTCAGAATATCATTTTCTATCGAATTAAATAAAAAAATACCGAGGGTGCTACTTAAAAATCAAAAGTTGTTGTCATTTCCGGTGAAACAAGAAGTGACCAGACAAATGAATACGTCAATCAATTCCAATTTATGTCATATACTAACACACCAAATCTCATTTTTTCACCTGAAAAATTAAAAAAGTTATAGGGGTGAGCCACTTATAAGACGCACCCGGTATAACTAAATTGGGTCTAATGAACATACATATATTTGTTCCAAAAAAACGTAGTAATTCAGTGTCCACGGAATATAGGGACACCTGGTATCCCTTTGTTAATTTATATGTTATAAATGTGAATAATTATGTAAAACGTGTAATAATATAATAATAATTTTTATTTTTTGCTTTGGCAGGCAAAACCGTCCATAGTAAGTAATTTTATGATTCTTTTCATTATTTATTAATACCTTGATACTCTAATTTAGAAAATCTGTAATAAAACCTTGTCCATTAAGTATATATGTTAGATAGGCGTATGTTTATAATTTGTGCATGGCTTGTAGCTGCTTACATGTTTCTTTAGTAACAATAATGAATTATATATAAAAAAAATAATAATCTGAAACAGAGTCAAGTTGACTTACTTTTTCTGGTAGTATATTATGTATCCTGGTTTTATCTATCTTCCGATGATGTTTTGGTGTATTTTGGTGTATTTCTGTAATTTTTTGTTGAAGAAACAAGATTAAGAAAACACATGAAAAGTATAATTAACGAATTATATTTTTTTCTAATATTTGTGAAGTTATGAAACTATTATTTTTTGTTTATTTTAAGTTTTTTATTTTTTTCGTTTTTAGTAATAGTTGCAATAGGTTCGGTGGAGGTTATGGTAGGTTTTAATTTATTGAGATTTTGAAACTTATATGAATTCATAATAATATTAATAATTATCTAATAATATACTAATAATAAGAATTTTCAAGAATGTCAGTTATAAACTTGAGTATTGCGCTAATAATAAATTACAACTGTTAGGCAATCCTAAAGATAAAACACCTCCACTGGAATGGTCGGGTATTTATGAAATTTCCTGTAAAGATTTTAGTCAAAAATATGTTGGGCAAACTAGATCAATATTAACTAGATTTAGTGAACATAATATACATATAAGCGATACCAATTAAACTTTTAGTTACGTAATCGAGGGCGCGGTTTTTAAATACATTGTTGCCAACCAGCAGGCTGGCTAATTGGAATTTAAATTTCCCACTGATAGTTCAGGTCGTAGCTCTCTGCTGTAATAAATGTCAAGGTGCCACATTTATTTATTTCCTGACATTGTCATTCGTTTTGACACTTTAGTTTTGTATTACGAGTTTTTGGTTTAAATGAATTGTGTTGTGATACTTTAAGCTTAAAAATGTTTACTAGCAGACCTTGCAGTCGAACGTTGTTCCTCTTGGAACCTCTTTTAGTACGAAGTGTACAAGACAGTGTAATAGCCGTATACCAACGTATATTTTGAACGGGAAAGCGGTAGTAATGGCCCTTTATGTCCCTTAAATGCTGTTAATTAGGTGAGTTTTGTTGATCTAAATAATAACTGCTTACATATTTATAATTAATTTATTTTTGTTTCCTAAAATATTTTGATTAAGAGAAAATATGTAAAAGTAGGCACCGCTGTGCCGGTCAAGCTTAATCACGTGACTAAAAGTTTAATTGGTATGAACTATATATAGTATTTTTAATACCTATTTAGAGGTACCAGCCGTTTTAGTAACTTAACGTATGCGGCTTCTTGCACCATCTAAACCCTCATGAAAAAAATTAGGTTATGACCTTTGTCATGTCAAATGCTTGACATATTTCTTATTGCATTGGCGGAGTGACTTGAAATTTCATATTATCAGTGGCGGTTTATAATAATAAAAATTAATTTTATGAAATTCTAAAGATGTTGACGTATTAAAAAAAATATAAAAGAAGCGCACTAATTTTAAAAATATTGTTTTATTAACTAGATACCGAGTTTTCTTAAAAAAAATACCTATATTATTTAAGATCTCGATTTAAGGCTTATACCAAAGAATATCTTAACTTATACTTATGCTTAATGTAGTAAACTATATTCAAAACGATTTAGGATCTCGATTTAAGGCAATTCAAAAAGCGTCTGATGCACTAAAAAGTATAATAAATAATATAACAAGAAGTCGAGCAAGCAGTAATAATATTTATTTAAGGGCTCGTTTAAGTACAAATTTCTACAGAAAAACAGGTTTAAAGAGCTTTTCGCTTTTAGCAGCATGGTATTTGTTCAAAAATAATATTCTTTTAATCTGATTCCAGGCATTTCCAATAACTGTTTTCTTCCATCCCGTTTTTTGAAATGAAAACTCATTTTTTAATCCCAAATATAACGAACTTTTGGAAATCTTAGTTTCTGGAGACTCTTCGATAAATTGCCGGAAAATAGTTTCTACTGTGATTTTTATCCTTTCAGCGCATACATTTTGTAAATTACTTCCCTCAAACAATGTAGGTATTCTTTGTAATTCGGATTTTGCTCGGGAAACGCTTGCAGACATATTTCTTCTAAATTCGAAATCTGTAGCTCTGTTTGGTTTTTCAAAGATTATATAATGTGCATTCTGGAACTTTTAGTGCTTCGGACGTTTTTCGAACATTGTTCTTTTAAAACCTCTTTTAGTGCGAAGTGTACAAGACAGTGTAATAGCCGTATACCAACGTATATTTTGAACGGGAAAGCGGTAGTAATGGCCCTTTATGTCCCTTTTGCGTTATGTTAATTAAGATGAGTTTTGTTGATCTAAATAATAACATCTAACATATTTATAATTATTTTAATTTTGTTTCCTAAAAATTTTGATTTCAACTGAAAATATGTAAAAGTAGGCAACGCTGTGCCGGTCAAGCTTAATCACGTGACTAAAAGTTTAATTGGTATGAACTATATATATGATTTATGCGGTATTCAGTGGAATTTTATAAAAATCTAATCAAAGTATCTAACTAGAGATACTTGACAGTGATAGTTGTGTCTGTCATTTTAAATAACAGATAAATTAGTATTTTCTGTCATTATTTGGATGTCAAAATTTTCCTTGACTCAATTGGATAGAATATATTTATTTGATTTTGCAGTATGTTGCACTTTATCTTATTTTAATATTTATTAATTTTATACCTAATACACTTTATAATTGTTCTTACTGGCACATATAACAGCACTTAACAATCTACCTAATTCAATCTCAGTAAAATAAAAGTTACTTTTAAATCAAAGAAATATGTGTTTTATAATAAACGAATATTTTTCTTTTGCGATTTAGGGTACGGCTACCGATTTAGTCGTTCAGATTGTACTAATAGCCGAATCAATGCGTCTTCAAGCTATGATGGCAACCTATGGTATTCAAACTCAAACCCCTCACGAAGTGGAACCGGTACAAATATGGTCGTCCACCCAGCTTGTAAAAGTCTACCAGAACTTAGGTGTAAATAAAAAATTAAAACTCAAAGGTAGACCTGAAAGACCTATCGGAAGTTTAGGTAAGTACAGAAAAGTTTGGAAAACACCCTGTGGAATGAGTTTCCAAAGTAAGGAAGTTCAAAACTACTTTGTCCTAAAGGTGTAAGCTATTAATCAGCGCAACCTGTAGATCTATAGTGTTCCTCTTTCTTGAGTTACAATAACTCATCATACAGTCTCAAGGCTTTGACAAAAGCCAGTATTTGAGGCGGTTTTACAGAGGTTAGTTCTCCGTCTCCGATATCAGTCGTACCAAAGTTTATGGCACGAATGGTTGCCGTCTCGGCGCACTCAGTGATGAGGTGTTCTGGTGTTTCCCCATTTTCCTCACAGAATCTGCATTAACCGTTGTTTCTTAGCTTCAATCTACTGAAGTGTTCATTGATGAGACAGTGTCCTGTTAAAAACCCCCCGTGACAATCCCAAGATTGTTCTTACTTAAACCACAGATTAGGTATACTATATGTATACAGATAAAAATCTTATCCCTAATTCGTAGCACGAAAATTGTTTTTTATGACGATGAGCAAAAAAAAAATTATGACGATGAGCAACACGGCTATCATAGAGGAATACACAAAACTGTTTAACATTATATTACAACATAAGAAAATACCAGAAGAATGGAAACAAAGTATAACAATACCCATTTTTAAAAAGGGAGATATAACAGACCCAGCAAACTATAGAGGAATAACATTACTGAGCACCTCGCTAAAACTTCTGACTAAGATCATTGCGGACAAAATCTCCTCAATAGTACCAATAAGCGAGGAACAACAAGGATTCCGAAGAAACCGATCAACTACCGATGCACTATTCATACTCAGGCAACTAGTTGAAAAGTCCTTAGAATATAACTCTCCAGCCTATCTATGTTTTATAGATTTAACAAAGGCCTTTGATAGAGTTCAACTAAAACATCATCACCATCTTGGAAAGCAGTAATGTCTCGAAGGAACTCACAGAACTTATCAAGGACTTAAACACAAACACGACAACCCAAATAAGAACAAACTTTACCTTAACGCAGCATCTTCGAACTACAACTGGTATTCGCCAAGGCGACAGTCTCAGCCCTCTGTTATTCAACACAATCATGGATCAAGTAATAAAAACCGTCAAGAATACTGGATTAGGATATCGAATGGGAATGTATAAAGTAAACATATTATGCTATGCCGATGACGCAGTACTTATTGCAGAGTCAGAGGACGACCTCCAAAGAATGCTACAAGTTTTTAACAGACAGGCAGAAAAACTTAACATGCAAATTTCCACAAATAAGACCAAATGCATGACCATTACAAAGGGGCCTCTACGGTGCAAATTGGTAATAAAAAACAAAACTATTGATCAGATAATGTCATTCGAATACCTCGGATGCAAAATTACAAGCTCAGGATTCCTGGAAGAAGAAGTAAGGAAACAAGCCCACAAAGCTGCCGCAATATCAGGACATCTTAAATATCCCATATGGAAAAAAAACATTTGAGTACAGAATGTAAGTCAAGAATATACAAAACCTGCATACGACCAGTGATGACATATGGTGCGGAAATCAGAGCTGAAACATCAGTAACAAAGAGAATCCTACGAACTACTGAAATGAAGACCTTAAGAATGATAACTGGATACACATTGAGGGACAGACAGAGAAATGTAGACATAAGAGAAAAAGTGCCAAACAAACGACGTTGTCAGATGGATAAGGCAGAGAAGAAGAGAATGGAACCAGCATGTCAATAGAATGGGCCCCGACAGAATGGCCATAATAATTCGCAACAACGTACCCCATGGTAGAAGACCTACTGGACGACCACCTAAACGTTGGCAAGACAGTTAGCAGTCAACCGGAACTAAACAGGCGATACGCCTTCTAAAAGAAGAAGAAGAATGACGATGAGCAAACGAGTAAAATTTCCTGTGCGCAAAAATAAACTCGCGTTTAAACAGCGTAATAACTGGCGCTGTGCACAATTTTAGAGGCTATAAGTGGGCGTGTTATGTGCGCAAACTAGTAACCTAACTAGTGCGCGATTCCGAAAATTGGAACCACGAAAAACAATGCTTTTGACGATAAGTTTATAATCTGTATAATCTGTGCTTAAACCAAGGAAAATCTTTGATTTTTCTCGGTGGTAAGTTCTGAGAAATTTCTTTACGTGTCTTAGACTATTGGAGAATTTCTATTCCAGGTTACAGGATAAAGTGGTTTTTAAATTGCTTATTTTGGAAAACCATTCGAACTTTCTAACATTATTTTGTTTTCCCTGGTATAATATACAGAAGGGTGCTTTAAAATTTAAAAGGGGACAAAAAATTCAAATAATTTAGCTACAAATTACTTAAAAAATCATCAAAATCGACCTACAAGAACAAAATATATTGATGTTTAAAATACATGAAAATTTCTAAGTGTCCATTTTTGGTCAGGGTTTTCTGTATTTTTTATTTTTTTTTATTTTAGGAACTAGTAAACTATATCGCATATGTGGAGCCACTGTCCTTTGTTATCCTCTTATCTTCGAAGTATCCGACTTTTATCTATATAGAGACATGGCCCTGCTAATCGACGATATAAAAACAGAGTTACAATTTGTTGGAAGGTAATATGATTTGCAAAAAAACTTTTCTTCAGAAATTTATGAAATCGTTATTGGTAGGTATTGGAGATTATCTGGAAGACCTACAGTGTGTCTGTTGATCAGGGAAGAGCATATGAGGGATCCCCAGTTCAAGCAAATGTTAGACCTTTTGGCTATGCTGAAAAAAGGGTATTGTGATAATGTTAAAGTTCGCATAGGACGGCTGCAAAATCTTATTTCTAGTTCTTGTGTTGGTAAGTTTAAAGTTTTATGAATTATATTTTAAGTAAAAAAATATTTTTTTTAAATTATTTTTCGCTAAAAAAGATTTTAAATTCTATCTTTGCTATTATTCATAATAATTCTTTGAATAAAAGGATTAAAGGAGCATATCAGAAATCTTAGACATAGATAAATGAAACAAGTTTAGATTGAAAGTGCCCTATGCCATAAGGACAATGTGTAAACACTATTTGGCGCTATTCTTGCAACGGTCGCAAAGCTTTTAATTTAAGCCAAATATTATTTATTCAAATTTATTATTATTTTCTTTTAATTTTATAAATAAAATACAGTGTGTTGCATACAAGAAACTTTATTTTATATTAACAACACATTGGAAACATTGGAAACCGACGTTATGCCACGATCCACGATGGTTTTTGCAGTTCACAGTTCGCAGCAAAGTTTTTTAAGTTTTTAATGCCACTTTTTCACAATTATTACGGGTTTGAGTAAAAACTTAAACTCACAAGATAGCAATAATTACTTTGAAAATGGACGCTTTAAACACCCTTCGGAAATTTTTTGAATGAGAGCGGTTTAGATTTTGAAAGATTTTATAATTTTCGAAGATTCTGACTTTGACAAGAGAAAATTATTTCTGTTGTTGTTTGGCGGTTGTTCTTAGCAACCACCATAGCAGCGCCAGATCGCGTACAACGGTCGCGACCCAAAATTTTGACATTTCAATCTAAATTTATTTCCTTTATCTATGGTATTATTATTCCCTATGGTATATCCCTTTGAATAAGAAGACTAAGGAAGGAGCATATCAAAAATCTTAGGTACACCGCGATGGGCCTCAAATATGGCCGATTTAAATTCCGGTTTATCAGTGTCGTTCAAATTTTATTTAAAAAATGTAAAACTATGATGTAGGGTAGACGTGGGGTAGACTCAATAATTTGTTGTTTTATTTTACGTTGTGAATAAATATTGGTAGTTATTAAAATTGTTATAAAAATATATAATTCTAATAAAAATAGATAAGTTATAATAAGTATTTATTACCACAAACATCCGATACGCTACTGAAGCAGGTAAGTCAAATTAACGTATCTAAATTCTTTGACATCTAATCTTTGACAAGTAATAAATAAAAGCTAAAATGCAAGAAAAATATATAATTTAGTTAATTTAAGTGAATTTCATAAATGATCGGTTTACTACACGTATGTATATTATATAGTCACTAGCGAAAAGTTGTTCCATTATTTCACTCAATTTTTGCCGAGATCTACCGCACGCTACACAACCAACTATTTTAGAGAACTTTTTCGATAAATCGCGATAGTGTCACTGTTAATTTAAGTGCTGCCACAATTTCCATCTAGATTTACTACCTTTATACAACTATCAGTAGTAGAATAAATAATAAATAACATAAAATAAGCTCCGTAAAGACTGACAAATCCACAAAATTTCAAATCAAATTCAAATGTGTCAAATGAATCGTCAAACAGAACTGTCAAGGATCCCCACCCTAGAGTGCTTTTATGGCGCTTTTTCCGCCCACCATGCATTAATACATGGATAGCATTATGCTCCTTCCTTAGTCTTCTTATTCAAAGGTATTTCCCTATCAGGTATTTGCTCTATAGTAACGCATTTTTAATATTTATAGAACATTTAGATTTTATGAATCAGCTAGACGGTTTGACAGATAGTTTTACCCACTTTCAACAATTGGAACACGAATACATAGGTTACCAAAGTTTGACAGATGTGCCAAGGGCGTTGAATTACACCGACCAACTGAAGGATTTATCTGTAAGACTTAATATAGGGCCTTTCAAATTGTTTCAGTTACTAAAATAAGCATTTCAGAGTTATAAGGATAAATCGACTAATGAAATTATAGAGTGTCTCAAAAATCAAGACAGTTTGTATGCTAAAGCCCAGTTGTACGGTTTTATACTGCGACGCGAAGGAAAACATTTTAAAATCCAGGATACTACTATTGAGAATTCATTATTGTGTAGGTATATTAGGGTGGCCATCATGAATTAATTTATGTAGTGTAGTTTAAAGCTTAGACAAAAAAAGACTGTCCAGCCATCGTTCACCGCTACGTCATTATTTGTCAAATATGAGTTTTAGGGTGTGCCTGAGATCAGCTCATATTGTTTAAAAAAATTTAAGTGCGTGTATTGACTGAGCGAGTTCCGTTTTTTCGGCATTTATTCATTTTTTCTTGAACTCTTCATCAGTAATTTACAAATGCCGTAATGACGTCACGAATCTCTTTCATTTGGCTGGCAAGTGATTGAGAGAGTTCGACAAAACAAATGACGTGACGTTGAACGATGGTTGAAACATTCTATACACAGTTTTTTTTACATTTATTTTCGTGATCTTTAAGAAATTTATGGCCACCCTAAGGTGTTAACAAGTAACTCTTTAAGACTAGTTTGTATCTTTTAGCTCTTACTATCATGCTGGATGCCTCAGACACTGGTCAGCAGTCAGATACACCAGTAGTCTGTTACATCATACTGTAGATTCTATAAGTCCTTTTATTACTGCTGTCTTGGTTCATGGAAAGCAGGTACATAAGCCAAATAATAGAATAGATACGATAAAAAAAGGCTTCAAAGACGGTTATGCATTTCTCAACCGTCTATGACGGTTTTTTTCGATCGTATATTATTTTCGTTAACTTATTGGGAATATCTTTATAATATTTTACACTTTCAGCTGACTGTAGGTGTTATTGGACAGAATGAAACAGTTTTCGACAAACCAATGACACCAGCCGAAATCCAGTCTATAGTTTACAGTTCAGGTGATAGCTCTGCTGTAAGAACTGTCAAGTTGCCACATTTATTTATTTATTTCCTGACGTTGTCATTCGTTTTGACACTTTAGTTTTGTATTACGAGTTTTTGGATTGTGTTGTGATACTTTAAGCTTAAAATGTTTTACTAGCACACCTTGCAGTCGAACATTGTTCGTTTTAGAACCAATTGTGGACATATTCGGCGCCGGGCTGACTAATAGGAATTTAAATTTCCCGCTGGGGATTCAGGTGGTAGCTCTGCTGTAAAAATCGTCAAGTTGCCACATTTATTTTTGATTATTTCCTTAAAATTGTCATTCGTTTTGACACTTTAGTTTTGTATTGCGAGTTTTTGGTTTAAATGAATTGTGTTGTGATACTTTAAGCTTAAAATGTTTTACTAGCACACCTTGCAGTCGAACATTGTTCGTTTTAGAACCTCTTTTAGAGCGAAGTGAACAAGATAGCTTAATAGCCGTAAAAAACTCATTGCAACTTTATTAGAATATTTTGAACGGGAAAGCGATAGTAATGGACCTTTATGTCCCTTAAGTACTGTTAAGGAGGTTAGTTTTGTTAATGTAAATAATGAATGTGTATATATTTATAATTAATTTATTTTTGTCGCTAAATTATTTTGATTAAAAGAAAATATGTAAAAGTCGGCAACGCTGTGCCGGTCAAGCTTAATCACGTTACTAAAAGTTTGTTTGGTATAATCTATGTACCGTATGATCGAGAAAAAACGGCGTCAGCGATGGCTATGGAATGAAGATCGCTGTCATTTTATATGTAAATTTATATGGGAAATGTCATCGATGTTCATTTCCTAGCCAACTGGACGCCTTTTTTTTTCAATCATACGGTATATATGTTTAATTTTTCTTAAATTTAAAGTAGAACAATTGAGTAACATAATATTATTAATTAATTTTCAGGGATTTTAAAAATTAGAGTTGGTTGGGTTTTGGAGGCAATGAAATATTATTTAGATATCATAGGAAGTAAAAAGAAGATCGAAGAACATAGTCCTTACGAAATTAGACAGTTAATTTTTAAGGTTTTATCAATTACAGAGTGTGAATCTCATAATAGTTTAAAGTAAGTACTAATAAGCATTTCTTTAGTGTTTAGGTTATTATGAGAATAAATAACTTATAATAATTTATATTTCATATACAAGGTGTCCCACTTAAGATGGATACAAGCCAATATCTTGATTGTTTGTTGAGCGGTCTTTTCATTTTGGCAGGCTGTATGGCTATAAGACGTACACATTTTGCCCAGGAGTAGAAATGCGATACCTTATAGACGTACGTTTTAATGGGGTTTAATATTTTTCGAGTCAAGAGTAAGCTACCCTTAGGACAGTATTTATTTCAAAATCTGATAAATTATATTGAATCCTTCTTACCCAAGATACCACTTAAGTTCTAATTTTGATAAATGATACAGGGTGTGTTATTAAAATGTTATTTTATTTGTGTGTTTTTATAAGTACCGTAGTTTGGAGACGAAATTGATAATTACATAGTTTAGTCACATTTTAAATTTAGCGCCAAATTTATGCAACTAGAAGCAGTGGTGTGCATCAGTCTTGTTTAGTAAAACTTTGATGACAAGACGTATGCAGTCGGGTGTGCCATTTTTTATCTATTTTTTGCAAAAAACGCGGTTAAAATTTTAATTTTAGTTAATTAATTTAAATTTTAATTTTAGTTAATTAATTTAAAATTTTAATTTTCAATTAATTAATTTTAACCGTTTTGCAATTAAAGCTGTTTTAACTATATCTTCAATCATCACTTTACTAAACAAGAACTGACTACCTCTGGTTCACATAGAATGACGCTAGAACTTCAGAAATCTTCGACTAGACTCATAGAATTTCTCGCAATTATATCAATAACCAATTATAACCAATTATCAATTAATAATCGATTTAAGTTTCAGATAGCTTCCATAATAATTAAGATACAATACAAAAAACTAAATATTTTCAATTTATTTTGTTTACTTTAAAAATTGTTTTTGTTTAGCTAATACAAATGAATAAAATGAGTTAGCAAAATAATTTAAAAGCCCGTTTTCAATGGAATCTGAAATATGATTTTTATTAATTTTATTGAGGAATATTTAAAAAAAATCAGAAATAGTTAGATATTTAAAACAATCACTATTAACTTTGAAAAATATGCTCTAAACAAAGATTTATAAAACTATAACGAACTAAAAGTCAACATCTTCGACCAAACTACCATAATTGGATATAATTGGTTACTGATAATAAACCAGTTGTTTATCCAGTGGCGTCGTAAGTACTTAAAAAAAAAATAATAAAAATAAAAATGTCTTATTTTAATGATTTATCAATATTTATAAAAATTAGAACTTAAGTATCTTAGGTAAGGAGGATTCAATATAATTTATCAGATTTGAAATAAATACTGTCCTAAGGGTAGTTTACTCTTGACTCGAAAAAATATCAAACCCCATTAAAACGTACGTCTATGAGGTATCGCATTTCTTATCCTGGGCAAAATGTACGTCTTATAGCCATACAGCCTTCTGCCAAAAAAATGAAAAAGATCGCTCAACAAACAACCAAGATATTGGCTTGTACGCTGTTAAGCTTATTGGCTGTTAAGTGGGACACCCTGTATATACAGAGTGTGTAGGAAAGTTTGCAACAGATTTGACTGAAGTTCCATTTGGCACATTTGACAGTTAGTAGCTATTTTAAAATCGACATTAGTTTATGGACTTGTCCTTTTTTATTTAAATGTAACTATTTTTTAGGTTAGAGCCATTACAAAAAAGACAATTAGAAGGCTGTTTATGTCGGGTACCGCACAGATTCTACAACGAAGTTTGGGACGTTTTATTAAGAACTCCCAAAGGAGTTGTAGTCGAGGGAAACATAATCCCCAGGGAACCCACTATGTCCAACATGACAAAAAACGAACTGACATTTTCGTTGTTAGTAGAAGAGGTTTGCTTTAATTATTACATAACCTTAATTTTAATATATTTTATATACTTAATATTTTTCAGATGCTAAATCATATCAACGTGCCAGAATACAGACAATTAATTGTAGAACTTTTAACAATAGTTTCAACGATTTTGGGAAGGAATCCAGAGTTAACGTTCAATCAACCTTTGAACTTGAGACAGTTAGTTACTGATGCTGCCCATATGTATGCTAAGGTAAAAATAATATAAATTTACTAGCTTTTGCCTTGAGTATTTTTACTGTAAGTACTCAGTCACTTAAAAAACCTTTGTGCAAAAAGTCGTATTTCTAGGACACATTTTAAGAAATTTTTATGCAACCTTGTATCCCTAATATTTGCGTCACGCAAGTAACCTATGCGTCAAATTTCATGCTAGGTCAAGCGGTTTCGTAATTATTATCATTATTATATTATCATTATTTTTTTTTATCTCTCGCTTTTTGTGGTTGGTATTAAGGAGTATAACCGGGTTTTATCGACCAAGGTTATTAATCCTTTACTAAATATCTTCTAATTATATGACAGGTGCCCAGAATAGCTGCCTTTTGTGCAATTCCTGCTAATGAGTTGTTCATGAATCTTCTTTCAATGAGTCCGTTGCACGATATGATGAACGGTAATATTTGAACTTTCTTCAGTTTGTACACGCGTTTTAATTCGTAGCTTAGGTCTTGATACTTATTAATTTTTTCTGCATATGTTTTTCCCATCATTATTATATTTATTATTATTATTTTTAGAAGGGATATATTTTAAGTTATAATCACAAATTATTACTATCGACATGTCAATATAATACGTTTATTTTTTCTAATATGTTTATTACAGATTGACTATCAGATTTTTAGGTCTGGTCTGATGTATCTGGCGTATTGCAATAATTCTTTACTATCCTCACAAGCAAAAGAACGTCTTCTACTGCATACGGCATCATGCCATTTAATTCCATCGTTATATTTATTGTTGAATACAGCCAAACAACTTTCCAGTTTCCTGTTTATAGAATATTCCCTAAAAAATATTACATCAAATATTTTATCAAGTATAAAGAATAAATAAAAGTTGACGTTCTTGAAATTTTGGAAATTTTGATCTCCTTGATGAGATAAACGCAATTTTATTAATCATAATAAAAGTTTATTGAAATTTATAACAGCAAATTATGGTTTTTATAATTTTTAAAAGTTTTAACATCCTGCAACTTTAAAACTATGCATTTCCGCACCCATGTATAGGAACTTTTTTTCATTTTTGACGAGGAATCAATGGGTACTTATTTAATACTTTGGCCAGTTTTAATGACATTAAAAAATTTAAACCTTGCTATTAGACTTGGATTAAAGCAATTTAATAAAATTGCATTTATCCCATCGAGGAGACCGAAATCGACAAAATATATACAACTTTTAATGAGCATTAAACGTTCTATACAATTTTGCTAACCACAGAAAATTAAGTCACTGGCGCACATTTTTTTAGAAAAATATTCCAGTGATAACCCATATGCACGTCCCTGGTGAACATGTTGACACTTTTTTAGCATTAAAATATGTCAAACTTATAGTAACTTTCACCCTCAAAATTTCATTCCCATCACTAAAAGCACTTGGAAGGAAATTATAATAAATTGAAAAAAAAGGAAGAATCTCCACACGAGGGATAGCACATGTTTTTTGAAACACCCTGTATATTTCAATTTCATCTAATATACCTGTTGTCCGGTTGTCTTTTTCCTAATTCTCCAGTTTCCGACCAGTCGTTTGAAATTCTATCTGTAGTGGGAGGCAGTTTTGCAAAGATGGAGGTCCAAAACCAACCGTTTACGTCTTTAGGCAAGAGGTCCGGTCTGTTGCAACCCTTAAAGTATAATTATTGTTTTAAAATTTTAGTTTTTCTATGTTAAATATATATTTTACGTTAAAATCGCATATTCTGCCAGACGTCCAAACTTCGTCGACATCATCTCTTGCGATTGCTAACTTTAACCATTCGTTTTTTTCTTTTGTCTCCAATGATACCAAATCCATGCAACGCATCCTACAGTAGTTTCTTGCTCCTAACCAGTCTTCTTCATCAATATTTTCTAT